CAGAACTGGCAGTTTGGATTATAGTTAGAAATGAACCAGAAATCTACATACCCTGTTTCCCTGAAAATAAGACATCGCCTGATAATAAGCCCAATCGGTTTTTGAGTGAATGCGCTAAAATAAGTTCTCCCCCGAAAATAAGCCCTCCCCAAAAATATTTAAACACAGAGCTGGAAATCAGGTAAGACGGCAAGAGAAGCCCCATCTTGCTTCACGCGCCCCAAAATAATAAGACCTCCCCAAAAATAAGGTCAAGCGCTTATTTCGGGGTTAAATGCAGACAATGTCGGCTGGCGACCCCCAGGGGGAGAGCCTTCTCTGTGGTGGCACCTACTCTCTGGAACAATCTACCCCCCAGAGATACGAGTGATCCCAGATCTCCGGACTTTTCGTCGGGCCCTTAAAACCTACCTCTTTCAGTTAGCCGGGCTGTCCTGATTTTATGATGGGTTTTTAAAATTTGAAATTGGTTTTAAATTGAAATGTTTTAAACTATGGGCCAAATTATTTAATTATTTTAAATCTATTTTAACTTTTGTATATAAAGTGTTTTACTTGGCTGTTCACCGCCCTGAGCCCGAAAGGAGAAGGGCTGTATAGAAATTTGATAAATAAATAAATAAATAAATAAATAAATAAATAAATAAAAAATAAATAAATAAATAAATAAATAAATAAATAAATAAATAAATAAATAAATAATATAAGACAGGGTCTTATTTTCAAGGAAACACGGTTTCTAAGCAAAAGTTATAATTAATGATTTGATAAATATGGTTAGGCCACTTTGTAAAGGAAAATATGTAATTGAGAGGTCATCTTAATGTATTTGCTAATTTGAACATAACAACATAAAACATCATCTGCTTAACCCAAGTCCTTGGGAAAGACTTGATAGGTGGATAAAAATAACAAATCCAGTCTGAACATTTGGTATTTGTGATGCATTTTTGAATGTTCAGTTGATTGAGTTTCATGTTTAATGAATAAAGTAAATAATAATAATAATAATAATAATAATCATCATCATCATCATCATCATCATCATCATCATCATCATCCACCTACAGACTTCATTTAAAAATGAAAGTATAACAAGTATGTGAAAGACAACAAAATGGTGATGGCAAGTAGTAGACTACCTTCACAACTTCAAACGTGCCAGTCATTTGGTTTTAATAACAGGGGAACATTCAGCCAAGACTGCTGTTAGAAAAATCCACTAAGGATGAATAATTACTGAATTGTACAGAGTTAATAGTGAAGGATGCTGAAAGCCGAGTTATAGTATCCCTTTATTCTTGGTTGCTTCAGTGAGTTGATGATCCTGACCACTGAACTAACATTGCATCAAGAAGGAAAATCAATTTTATTGCATTAATAGGCACACTGGTGTGAAGTCATAGAAACTTGCAGTGAGAATATGATGTTGAAATCTGTACTTTTAAAGTACAGCAAAGAAGCACTTGTAACAGGCAGAAAATAAAGTCATAACAGACTAAATCAGAAACTAATCAAAGCATAATCTGTGATCAGAAATATTTATCACTAATTCCTTGATTCTGTGCTTCTTAATGGAACTTCTTACATCTGGACATTCCTGCCAGAAACCAAATCACATGTTTATTCCCAAAAGTTGTTTTCACTAAAACTTCTTTTACCATGCCAAGGTCAGATTATAGTTTTTATATGAGGCTCAGAAACTTTTACTTCAAAAATAAATAAAAGCAAAATGTTCATTCTATAAAATAATAAACAAATGAAACAAATACAAAACTATTTACAGTTTTACTTATTGATTTCTCACTGATGTGGCAAGACTAATAAAAACTAATGCAACATTTTTAAAATGATAGAGCTAGACTAAATCATAGTAGCATTTATATGTTCTATTAAATAAAACACCAGAATAATTTATCTAAACCAGAAGAATATATCACAACAGAATTATATAAGAACTACAATAACATATATTAAATATCACAAATGAAGATGAATATATGTGTCCCAGGATAATGTTGCAGGATCCAATCTGGGTCAGTCACTGGGACCAGAGAGTTAGTCTTCTGAGCTTTTGGACTCATGCTGGAGCCAAACCTCGGGAAACTTGGCTCTAGAGGAATGTATTCTAGAGAGCGGTAGAGAAGTTTTTGAAAATGGGATCCAGATGAGTCTGAAAGCTCAGAAGACTAAATCTCTGGTCCCAGTTACCGACACAGATTGGATCCTGCTATATTAAATATATGTAAGTAACAGATTTATTTTTATTAACATTGTTTATGTTCTTCTCTATTAGTTTTATAAGTTTCAACAAGTTTGGTTGAAACTTGTTTGACCATTATTAGCTGAAGGGTGCTAAATAGAATGATGAATTTCAGAGGTTTAGTTGCTCATTTTAATTATGAAAAAAACTACAAATTTTTTTTTTTCATGAACTGCTTAGAGATCTTTAGAATGGAACAGTTTAATAAATTATAAATAAAAGCAAATAAAACTTGATCCTGTGTACTTCAAAGTGTGTTTTAATAATATAGTCTATTTTTGTGACTTTTGCCATCAAATCCTTCCATGCATTCAAACTGCGTGCCAATTTTAATCTTGCAAGTATGTAATGGCGAAAAAACTTACTGGCTTAGATCTAATTTCACAAACTAATATATTCAAATCCACTTCAAACAACTGTTGGTTAAAATCATGACTACTGTATATTCTTTCTAATCCAATTGACTTAGTTTTATTTGCTTCACTCTCTTTTACTAGATCTGATCCTTTGTTCACAGCATTCTGTAAGATGAATCTAATTCAGATCTAATAGGGTTTGTCATGATTACATGATTTTTGCCCACAGAGACAAAAATATGAAAGTTAACATGCAGAACTTGCGTGAAGCTGGTTAATTTTATGGGATTTTCTATGTGGAGGTTGGAATCATCACTCGATGGGTCTATCTCAGCAAAAAAGCTAGGAAAAAATGTTCTGCTTGGGAGGTTATTAATAATCATGGGCTCTTATCATTTTTATTAAGGTTATGTATTTCAGTCTGAAGTTTATACATTTCCTGTTTGCTGTATTCTAACATTTGGACAATATCTATTTGAAGAAAATCATATCTAAAATTTGCAAGCTAATAAGCATTACCTGGTTTTTCCTCTAAGGTCACAGGAACTAACAACATTTTTCTTGCAAGCTATGTATATATTGAGTTATGTAAGTACATCTATGCAGCCAATTGCTAATAAAACTAAGTTTTCCGCTAAAGATATACTCTTCCTGTTCTGTTTTATTTATTTGTTTTGGCAAATATTTGTTCCTGCTAAGTATGTAAGAAAATGTAACTCAAATAGTGTGTTTTGTATATTTGTAACTATTAAAGGAATTGGAGGATTATGGAATCTCTCCCTCCCTCTCTGTTATAGAAATCTGTTTTAAAGATTTTGTAATTGATAAAAAAAGATTGAATTTCTCAAACAACCTACCTTATCCACTTATAAAATAAAAGGGCCTATTGTATTGGCTACAATAGGCCCTTTCTATCCCTGAAATCTATTCCAGAATTTTTCCTTAAGAAAATATTTAAAATGAAAAAGATGAAGTAGTAGCTTAATGTTTTTTGGTTGAAGATTCCTAGCACTACTAAAGAAGGCAGTGCCCAAGCCACTTCCTCATTGTTGCCAATAAAACTATGGAGAAATAGCACATGAAATCACATGTCAGGTTTGACTTGAAGGAATCTTTACTGTTTTTTTTTTAAACATTCAAACTGAAATTGGGTTCTTGTATGTTTGAATAGGTTTTAAATTTATGAAAATGTTTCTTTGAATCTTGAGAAAATGTTCAAAAGAGACTCCCATTGCTTTCAGGTTGATCAGAGTTGTTCTACCCTGCCAATATGCATAGCTAAACCTTATGGTTTAGCCTTAAAACCTTATGGGATATGTTTGTGTAAGGTATGATGCACAAGACTATCTCAAGTGTGGACATTGCACAGATAAATAAGTTCCTGTATCATCATCTATTAGTTTGTGCTAGACATGGAATGAAAAAAAAACCAAGACCATAAGCCTGTAGCTGCTTAATCTTTCTTTTCTTCTTTATCTTTATTTGATTTATATACTGCCCTACTCCTGAAGGACTCAGGGCGATGAACAGCCAAATGATAAAATACCTAAATACAAAATTTAAAAAACAGAATAAAACCGAATTAAACAATTTGGACCAGACAGATTTAAAAACCCCCAATCATTTAAAAACAGATTAAAATTTTCATATTAAAAAAGAAAAAGCGAAAAGATTAGGCCAGGCCCGCCTGGTGGAATAAAAAGATCTTGAGAGCGTGGTGGAAGGTGCGCAGGTCCGGGATCCTCCGTATCTCCAGGGGGAGCTCATTCCAGATAGTAGGTGCCCCCACAGAGAAGGCTCTCCCCCTAGGGACCGCCAGTTGACACTGTTTGGCTGACGACACTCGGAGGAGTCCCTCTCTATGAGAGCGTACCGGCCGGTGGGAGGCTATTGGTGGTAGTAGGTGGTCCCATAGGTACCGTTAATAAGGTGAAAAAGTTACTATAAATGTTGTACATCATACCTGCACAAATTGGATTCCCTGTACAATACATTTATAGAATGCTGAAACAGAAATACTACTTAAGGTATGCATTTGTTGTGAAACTGTTAGTAATTTGTATTCTACAGCATAATAGCAATCCAGATTAAATGATAATATAATCATATTATAATATTATTTGCTTATAAAACATGGGGTGGAAGAGACATTTATACTTCAATTATATGGGCATTAGCAATTTAACATTTGTACATTTGTGAACTATGTATTTTTCAAGCAAAAAGAACATTAATTCACTTTTTTATGCTACTTTGCTATTGTGTCCTTTGCAATATGTTATGCAAATATCATAACTATCTTTTTATTGCTGGGTGGAGACATTTTGAATTAATTGTTAATTAATTGTTTTCCTTTTTTTCATTTCCCCTTAATTTCAAAGGTTGAAAAAAATGATGACATTGACCAAAAGATTGAACAAGATGGCATCAAACCAGAAGATAAAGCTCATAAGGCAGCCATCAAAATTCAGGCTAGCTTCCGTGGACATATAACAAGGAAAAAGCTCAAGGGAGAGAAGAAGGGAGATGCCCCAGTTACTGATGTTGAAGGTGGAGAGAAGAAGGAGGTCCTTGCCAATGGTCTGGCAGATGGCAAAACTGCTATTACAGAAATCGCTCCAACTGAGAATGCCCTACCTGGAGATGAAAGCAAAGGGGAAAACACCCCAGCAGATGAAAAGCAGGCAGATGGCATTGCCAACAGTGGTTCAGAGCAACCTATTCCAAAGGCCACTACTCCTGCTACTCCATTGGAGGAAAAGCCTGATCCTGCTGCCACTGAAAGTGCCACTAAAGCTTCCACTGATAATTCACCATCCTTGAAGGCTGATGAAGCCCAAGTCAAGGAGGAACCCAAACAAGCCGATGTGCCTGCCACTGCCACCACTGCCGTCTCCCCTAGTGCTGCAGAAGATGCTACTGCCAAGGCAACAGCGCAACCCCAAACAGACACGGCAGTGAGTAGCCAAAATGAAGAGAAAACAGGTATGCTATAACAGCATGTGGGTAAGCTATTTTATAATACAGACGAGTAGTGAGCAAATGAAGAATTAAGCCATAATTTGGCTGTTTATGAGATTAATGCAGAATAAAATAGGCAGTCAAAGTGGCATGGTAAATTCCATGGTAAGAATATAAAATCAAAAATCCTTGTGATAACATCAAGGTCAAGGATAGGTATGTAGTGAAATATTAATCAGTAAAAATATCTGAACGGCATGATTTGAAATAGCTGTCAATCTGGGGTAGAAATAACATTTATACAAAAGAGTTAAATTAATATTTCAAGTATCCAGAAATAACTCTTGTCTTTTTAGTAGGAAATATAATGTCAAGATAGATGTATAGTACATGCACTGTCTCTATGACTCATACATTTGATCTGCGTAAATAATACTAGCTATTGAATTTAGGGGAACACACATTCTAAAGGTTGATAACCATTGAAAATCTAAAGTAGGCTAAGTAGCCAAACTGGATGATTTTTGGCTTAATTCCGAATGATTTCAGTGGAGATGGGACAAATATGATTTTGAATCATTTTCTTTCAAATTGGTCTTTACATCTCATGAGAAATCAGTGTCTCCTCTGGCTGACCATACAAGAAGGGCATAGTGTTTGAATGAATAATAAAATTTGCAGTTCTAGTTGCCAAAAGCAATTTATTATGAACAGAAACTGGACTAAGAGGATGGCAGGCAAAATGCATAAGGAATTTGGAATCAGTAAACTTGCAAACCTGTTTTCTTGTAATGCGTATCATTTAGTTCAGTGACAGTGTGACAGAATAAATGGACTCTGGATTATAATCCATTAAGCGACATGTTGCCAAATTGTGACAACCTTTCCACATCCTTGTATTTGTGATTTTATTGTTCCCTCCTGTAGCTTGACTTGGCAACTTGATGGTTTTAGGCTTCTGGATGAGTATTGCCTGGCTCCAACAACAGAACCCACACAGAATAGAACAAAATTTCTCAGAAAATTAAATTATGCAGGAACATTATAGACATATCGAGATAAATGCAGATTTTAAAAGTTAATTTTTTTTAATGGTTACTTGTTCAGGTTATTTCCACAAGTTTCTCAAAACTTCAAGCCATCATTCAGGAACAATTTCTTAAGTTTTATGTGATACTTTCTGTTTCTTTGATTATACTATTTAATATAGAACACATGGGTTGGTAGGATCAAAATGGGAGTGGGCATTGCTAAATAGGAAGAATGTAGTAATAGGACAGATGTATATCTGTATTATTTGCAATTTTGTAGAGTAGGGGAACTAAGTATTAGATAAATGAGGCAACTGAAGAGAATCAAGTGATACTGGGTTCTCAAGAAACAAATGACAACAAGTTAGAAGAATTAATTATTTGGTTGCCAGAAATAATGCATCAATACAAATTTAATGAATCGATCATTAAATTATTCAAAAGAAATTCAGATAATGAGTATACTTATAGTGAAAATGAACATATGCCAGCGAAACATGTACACTAACCTCACAATTAGTACAAAAGCTAGGAGTGGCACAAAGAGCCATGGAAACATACCATACATGCTTGGCATCACAAGACAAGATAGAAAGTCCTGCATATGGATTAAAGAACAAAGGAAAATATATGATGGCATCAAAAGAGTGAAAGAAATGGAAATGGGCTAGTCACATAGTGAGAAGAACTGATGGCAGGTGGACTAAGGTAGTCTCATAGAATGGATCCCACTAGATTAAAAAAAAAATCCAAAAAAGAGACCTAAAACAAGATAGAGTGAGTATTGTGGGCCCAACTGGCAAAGGAAAGCTCAAGAACATATTGGTTGGAAACATGCAGAAGAGACCTGCAGTGGATAGACAATGGCTAAAATGATGATGATGTATTATGGTGAAAACAAATATATACATACCTTTCTACCCTTTCTACCCATGAGCTGATTACCTGTTGTAATCTCGTTGGATACCTGAACTATTGCCCTCCCATCTCACTTCCACTCCTTTCTAAGGCATTTTTCCTAACAACAGCAAATATTGCTTTATTTTTTTAAAAAAACCCATTATTTTCCTTAATTTCCACTAAGTGGCAGCATGTAGTCTCAGATTACCGATTAGAGGCCAAACTATACACCAAATTTTAAAATAGTGACAAACTTCCTGTCAATTTTGTCAACATCTCTTCAACAGCAGGTTCAAACTTCATATGGATGTACACTAGTTTTTTTTTCTTTGTTTCTTACAAACAAAGTATTATTTTTTATACTTTCCGGCCTTTGAAGTCAAGCACTTATTCTATAGACCTTCCTAGCCATTTAGTAATTTGATTTCAGATGTAAACAGAAAGTTCATTTGTTGTGGTTTTAAAACTGGAAAGCAAAAAGTTTATTTAAATAATTTATACGGCCACCTATTTCACAACAATGACTCTGAGTGACATACTGGGCTTAAAACAACAACTATACTTCTGTATATATCACCTAAAGATTTTTTAAAAAATAAAACTAGTCAGAAAACATCAGCGTTTCAACATCAGAGTCCACCTAACTACCTAGGACAATGCCAGGAGAAACAGGCAGTTCATCAGTACCTTGCAAAAGGCTAAGAGAACTGGAGCTATCCAAGATTTCAAGATGGGTACTATTCCATAGGACAGATGCTGCATAGGACAGAGAAGACATGACCTTTGAATCCAACAAAATGGTACTGTTTGACAGAAGGGACTCAGGGTACGTATTTCTTGCTACATCTGGAGGCTAAGCAGAAACAATGGAGGAGAGGTGGTCCTGCAAGTATTTTCCATTGGTTCTTGAAGATTAGCTTTATGGAGACAGCCACTGGAACTCTCCTTGCTATGGTCTCCAACAGAGTATCCTTGTCCCATTGTTCCACAGATAGTCAGGCTCTTTCGTCCATACTTCTGAATTTTGTGCACTCCTGTCTAATTATTAATTTTTTGTCTTATGGACAATAGCTCTTTCCTTGCAGGAGCATAACATTTTACAGTAGCTTAGTAGATAGTAAATAAACGGTATTGGATTCATACCAAAAATGACTGCATCACATTGCTATATGTACACTTCCTGTGGGTGAATACACAACCCCCACAATCTCAAAATTACTTCCACCAAGGACAAAACTAGAACTTTTCTCTAAGTGGAAATTGACATGTAATGGTTTCCTATCAGAGAAATTGTGCTTTTAGTTGATATTTCTGATATAAAATGATGTTACCTCCCTTTCGTCTCCCACATATTTCTGGTGCATTAAAGGATTGGTGTAGGAGCAAGGAAGGAAGAAGTAGAGGCATCATAACTAGGCATGGCATCTTGTTAATCTTGAAAATGTATCTGAATATTCAAAGAGAAACACTTAAGAGAACTTGTTTTTGAATTCTGGTGACATATTTAGAAAGAGAAATTTCAGTTTTACTTGCTCTCTTCATAATTCCTTCTGTTTATTTATTTTCTACAATGTGAGTTCTTCTCCTTTAGCTCAATGATTTGAGAGCACGTTATAAAATTTATCCTACATTGCTGTAAAAGGGACAAAGAAAAGTGCAAACATTTGAAGTGGAAAAAATGAAACAAGTTTTTGTGGAAATTCGTGGATATTCCTCAAAAGGTTCTGACTCTTACTGTAAAAATGGTATACAATATTGTCTCAAGTCACTGAGCAAAAAAAGCTGTCAATGTAATTGGTAGTGGAAAGCTGCCAATAAAGAAATGAATTCAATGGCTACAAGCCAGTAATATTGGCTAGCCACTGAGACTTGGCTATTACTATTACAAAAAGTAAATGCAGCTCAGCCTTTTTTTTTTTCTTACAGTGTTTTTGCAGTTACCTCAGTTTTCTAATCCAAGAATATGATCTCATCAGTGACATTGACAACATATGAGCTCCCTCCTTTTCTTTGTCCTTTGTCTGAGAAACATATTTCATGAAAGATTGAAGGATGTATCAATTCAATCAGATGACAGCAAAATGGCAAAATTATTTAGTCTGATTTCTCCCCCTTATTATCTATGTTCCGTCTTTTAAGGATTATTTCCTCAGGGATTCCTTATATTTTTACATGAATCAATGTAATAGTTTTTCAGACAGTAGCCACAGAATATGAATATTCAGTTTTTGTTGGAAATATATATATAAGAAAAATGTGTATCTTACATTAGGAAAGACTTGAAGCAAGATGGAATTGTGGTACATGTTCTCAGAACAAAGCCCTCTGGGATATTTCCTTGAGTACATTTAGCACAACTGAAGAGAATATTGCACAGGATCTGTTGATCTATATCTATATCTATATCTATATCTATATCTATATCTATATCTATATCTATATCTATATCTATATCTATCTATCTATCTATCTATCTATCTATCTATCTATCTATCTATCTATCTATCTATCTATAGAGAGAAAGAAAGCATTCTATTAGGGTTGGGCAATGTGTACCCTTTGGCTTGATTTCATTTGGAGCTTAGATTTACTTTCAGAAATTCTCTAGAAACAAGCCTTGTTTTACCTTTTCTAGAAAAAATGGTGATCTAGAGAAAGAGATGTATAGAAAGAGACAGAACATCAAAAGAAGTGGGGCGGAATGAACCCAAGAAAGAAAATGTTAAAAGATGTCACATGCCCACTTTTAACTCAGCCATAAACTGTACAAGGCCCTTAGTTCCAGCAGATATTCTCAAAGAAGCATAGCTCTTGAAGGGAAGGGGTGACTTGTAATTACTTATTATGACTTTTGTTTCATAAAGAGCTTTGATATTTTTGAAAGTAAGAGGACAGGTACTTATCTTTAGAAAAAACTTAAAGCATTTAACTTGAGTGAGTAGCTTCCCACACATTCAATAATAGAAGAATCCTATGCGCATGTATCGTCGGTAGTTTCATTACCGTTTTATTTTATATTTATTTGCTAGTTTTAATTATATAGTTTATTTGAATAGTATTTTATTAGAGAAAATATTTTACATTGAGCTTTAC